TGACCTCGTCAGCCAAGCACATTTCCGGCGGCGGCTGAGCGGCGGAATTACTGAAACCCCATAAAGAACCGAAATCAAATTCTTCGTCGGCGGCGGTCTCGACGGCTCTGGGTTTTTTCTCGAAAAGAGAATTGGGATTGTCTTCTTTAATTAAATTGAGGGGAAGATCGCATAAGGACAAAGATTCGTCTTCGTGATCGGGTTGCTCCATGTAAACCCCGCCTTCGCTCCATGTTTCTAATTTGGCACAGTTTCTGATCGCCATTTTCAACTCCAATTTTCAGAGAGAGAGAGTGTGAGGAAATAATCCAAATGGTTTAATTCTTTTTCCGAAACATGTGAAGAAGGGGAAGGGGAAGGGAAAAACAATAGTGAATTAGAAGAATTTCTTTGAACAAGTACAGAAGAAATAAGCAGAGAGAGGAAGATGGAATGTAAAGGCAGAGGGAAACAGAATATAAAGCAGGGGCAGCATTTGGAAGAACTGAAAAGCAAAGGAAATTGATAACTGTAAGGTGGGAATTGATATATATTTCTGATTTAGATATTTAAATAATGAATTCTGTGGAACATCCAAGATCATTCAAACAAGAAAATATTTATAAAAAAACAAAATTTTAAAAAGGAGCTTAAAAGAAGTGCAATGGGACCCCAAAAAATGGCGCCTTTTGATTGTGAGAAAAAGGGGGAAGAGGGAAGAAGTTGGGAGGAATTGGCGCATTGCCAGTTGAGGGGGAGCTGTTAATTAATTGTTGTATTTGTGATAACTGGCTTTTTTCTCATAAGAAATGAGTAAAATTTGTTGCATGCAGAAGTGGGGTTGAGGGAAAATGAAGAATTTTCTGCCAAAAGTGAAATATTTTGGAAGCTAAAAGATAGGGAGGAGACACAGAAAATCAGCTTTGAGAATTTAGTGGAGCATTCTCAAAAGGGAAGAAGAAATCAGACAAAAGAGAGAGCACTTTGAACTTTAGGCTTTGGATTTAATCTCATAAACTCATTTCTGATATGTGAAAAGAGATGTTTATGTTATTTTTATATGGCTTATACCTTTTTTGGCTGTCTTCCTCTTCCATATGACAAGAACCAAATTGCTTTCAA